TTGGATAACTTAAGGACAGAAAACAGAAATGAAGGGGTTAAAATGACTTGTGGAATGAGGCAGGGAAAGAAATTCAGACCTGACACCCCTCATCCCCCTCCTCCTTTTTCTAGGAGTCAGTGTAAAAGAGTGATACAGACAGCTGAGCCACTCCCAATTTTTTGTACTAGAAACTGCACAGTTAACAATCAAAGGCAGAATATAACTCCTAAAGTTATTTGTTTTTGGTACAATAAACAACATTATTTAAGGTCTTGCAGATATTTTATCCTTGATATCAAATCAAAAGCAAATGAGAAGGGGGCGGAGCCTGACCGCGACCGAAGATGGACGCTTAGTCCGGCGGCTCTCTCTCCCCCGTGACCGCAATCCGCCACCATCAGCTACCTCGGCCGGGAAACAACCGGCGAAACAGGCGACCCAGCCCTCACAGACCCGGGCACTCTCTCCCCCATGCGAGGAGGAAAGAAAAAAAAGGAGAAAACCCCCTCAGTGGCATCCATATTCTGCCCGCGGAGCGTGCCAAATCCGCCATCTTGCCGCTCAGACATGGAGGGCTCTGACAAGGAGACTGCACACAACAGGTACCCGACCACAGCAGATTCCCCCTTAACTAAAAGGGACCTACAAAACCTACTGCAGGAAGCCACTGCAGAAATTAAAGCACACACAAAGGCTGAACTGAACCGCCAAATTCAGTCTCTTAAAGCGGACCTAGAGGCCCTATCACACCGCACAGACCATGCAGAGGCCAAACTCACTAAACTGGCTGACACCACCTTCTCTCACTCCCAAGATATCACCTACCTACATGGCAAAATGGCAGCACTTGAAGAAGAGATAGAAGACCTTAATAATAGGTCCAGAAGGAATAATATCAGGGTGAGGGGATTGCCAGAAACGGTAACTAATGACCAGCTACAGGCCTCCCTCACCGACCTCTTTAACACGCTACTACCAGAGGCCACGCAGCACGACCTCGCAATGGACAGAGCACACAGGGCGCTTAGACCTCTGGCGCTGAACCCAGACACCCCTAGGGATGTAATAGTGCGGATGCACCGTTTCCCCATTAAGGAGCAACTGGTCCGACAAGCCAGACAAAATCCCCCAACTTTCCAACAGCAGACCATAGCCCTTTATCAGGACCTGGCCCCTTCGACTCTCAAGAAAAGGAGAGATCTGCGGCAATTGACGAACACCCTCAACCACCACGGCATACGATACATGTGGGGACACCCCTTCAAGCTGCTGGTCCGCAGAGAAAACCAGACGCACATACTATCGAATGCGGCGGAGATGATCCCCTTCGCAGAGTCCCTAGGCCTCACGCTTCTACCTCTACAACCGAATAGACCACCTGGCCCCAGAGGGAGACGGCAGGAATCCATTAGCCACTCACCTCGATGCACACCGAGAAAAAGAGCACCCCCAAGACCACAAGACGGCAGCCCACAGCGGCACTAAGATCCTGTCAAGATTCCCGCAGAGACTCTCACTCCCAGGACACTTTTACCGCCATTACACTATATGGCCCTCGCTCATATCCTTTTTTTTTGTACTACTGTGCTCTTTTAATATGCTTTCTGTTGTGTTTTTTGCATCTTGAACCCCCCTGTCCTATCCTGTTTGACAAACCTGGGGCATGAGGGGGAAAAGAGGGAAAAGAGACGGCGGAGAAAGGGGGGAGGAAAAGGAAAGTGGGGGAGGGGAAAAAAAAAGGAAAAGCGGAGGAAGGAGATTGGGAAAGGGACGTAGAGGACTCCCCCAGGCCTACGTTTAACCAGGGTACCTAACCCACCCCGGATCGTCGTTACATCTCCAATAACATATTTTAAAGCAACAACCAAAGAAGAAATAGGAAAGGGGGGGGGAGAGAAAAAGGGGGGAGGAAAAGGGGAATTAAAAAATAAATAAATAAATAAAAAAAAAAACAGGAAAGGGAAAAAGAGAAAGGCTTATACCTCAAAGAGGCACAGTTGCTTGGACACAACAGGAGTGGAACAGACGAGGCCGTAGGGGGAGGGCCAAGGGGAGGGGGATAGCGATAGGCCACGACCCTAGCAGTCACCCTGTGTGGGAGAGGGAGCTTTTCAGCAACATGGTCCATAAAGGGCCCTATAGGGAAACGGAAGACGAGACCCCCCGTGACTTGCTGAGGAGACTCCGCACCCCCCCGGGCTCCCTCCCCCCGACGATGACAGCAGGGAGGACGACAGGCACCACCTTGGTTCACGAACGATGCCCGCCCACCCCCCAGACAAACACCCCCTCCCGCAAGGACACAACGGAAGATAGGAGACTATTAGACTACACCTGAGAAGACAGGGGAGCACTTCCCACCTTCTGAGAGACACTCTGCACATCGCTTCAAATAGCCTAAACATGATGGGTATTAAATCTTCTTTTTTTTCTTGTTTGTATATAGTTTTGAACTCGCCCAGACGGACACTCCACAAGCCCTCGACAGAGAGCCAAGGTACATCAGACAACATTCCAGGTACACAAGGTAACACATCACGGGGGGGGGAGAGAAGTGGACGTGACCATCCCTCCTCTTCTCTTCTCACCCCTCACACACACCACACGATACTCACCCCCAGAAGGGTGAATCGAATCACATCCTCAACCCCCATATCACCCTCCCGCCCACCAAGTTTGGCACGCACATCGTAAGACCAAGCCCTTTTAGTACCCTCCCCCCACACCCCTCCCTGACCCCCCCGACCCCGCACGCCGAGAGCAAAAGCCATAGCGATACAATGCCAACTGCCACACTAACCTGTGTCTCGATTAACTGCAAGGGCCTGAACAGCCCGAACAAACGGCATCGAGTCCTTCGATGGGCCACCAGACGTCCTCCTCCTGCAGGAGACGCACTTTGAGCAAAGCAGGCCCTTCCCACTACGTAACAGACACTACACAGAGTGCCATCAGGCAAACTCACCCCAAGGAAAGCATAACGGGGTGGCCATCCTCATTCGCAAAACCTGCCCCATACAATTCTCCAACGCAGCCTCAGACCCGCAAGGGCGGTTCCCCACCTAGGCCCAAATAAATACGCAATCACATCGGTATATGCCCCAACGGCACCACACGCACACTTCTGGACAGCCCTACAAGCCCACCTGGCACTATTCCCCGCCCATCACAAGGTGGTGGGGGGCGACTTTAACGCGGTGCTGTCACCGTCCAGTGACAGACGAGGAACTCAAAACCGGGGACTGCCACCTCCACCAGAGGCAAAAACAGACAAATTACTCAATTCTTTCTTAACAAGCACAAATCTAGTAGACATGTGGAGAACACAACATCCACAAACATTGGACTACACGTTCTTTTCCCATCCACACAAGTCCTACTCACGTATAGACATGTTCCTGACCTCCCCATCCCTAATGCAACACACAGACAGGACAGAGATAGGACAAATCACGTGGTCAGACCATGCGAACATTACCATAACTATACAGCTTCCAAATACGACCAAACAATGGGCTTGGCGGCTAAACCCTACGCTACTCCACATTCCACACATCAAAAACACAATCGACGCAGCAATAAAAGACTTCTTTACCAATAATACAGGCTCAGTAGCCTCAGTAGGCACATTATGGGCAGCACACAAAGTGGTCATTAGAGGCAGCCTTATCTCAGCAGCCTCGGCCCACAAAAAGGAGAAACTATCCACACTACACCAACACCTCAACGCACTACGCAAGGCGGAACACGCGCATAAACAAAACCCCACGGCCAAACACAAAACCTCCCTGAACAGATAGCAGAAACCTTTACTCAATTTTATACCTCCCTTTATGACCATGACCCCCAATCTCGACACAACGCACAAGACACAGAGGTAGCCATAACACGATACTTACAAAGCATACCTCTACCGCAACTCACTGATGAAGCACGAGAGTCATTAGCAGCAGAAGTTACAATCGAGGAGGTGGCAGAGACGATTAAGGCTCTACAACCTAACAAATGCCCGGGCCCCGACGGCTACTCGGGATTATATTACAAAACATTCTCTGCAACCTTAATCCCACATTTTAGCGAGCTATACACATCGATCCTCAAAGGAGAACCGCTCCCAGCGGAAATGCTCCAAGCTAATATTAGCCTAATACCAAAACCGAATAAATCCCTACAAGAACCAGGACACTACCGTCCCATCTCACTCCTAAATGTAGACGTTAAATTATTTACCAAGCTTATTGCGAACAGACTTAAACATTTTCTCCCGAAACTGATCCACCCAGACCAAGTAGGCTTCATTCCCAATAGACAAGCCTACGACAACACAAGACGCACCTATGACCTAATCTGGACGGCCAACGACAGACGGATCCCGACGCTACTACTATCCCTAGACGCCGAAAAGGCATTTGACAGGATCCTCTGGCCATATTTATTTGCGGTCCTGACGAGGTTCGGCTTCCCCAGGGCCCTATTACAGGCAATTCGCACCCTCTACACCAACCCGACAGCACGACTACTAATACCAAATGCCCGCCAAACCCTGTTCCACATACGAAACGGCACCCGGCAGGGGTGCCCCCTGTCCCCCCTCCTCTTTGCCCTCTCCCTCGAACCCCTCTTGCAACAGATCCGCAATACACCTGCCATACAAGGCATAAAAATAAGAAGGGAGGAATACAAAGTGGCAGCATATGCTGACGACTTGCTTCTAACCCTGACTGACCCAGGGACATCCCTACCCCCACTGTTAGACTTACTAGAGGCATACGCAAAAATCTCAGGGTACAAACTCAACATAGAGAAAACTGAAGCCCTAACAATCCAAACCCCATCTCACACGCGAACACTACTGCAACAAAACTACCCGTTTCGCTTCCAAACGCAAAGTATTCGTTATCTAGGAACAGAGATACCGGCAGACCTACATTCTACATACAGACTAAACTACCCCCCATTAATCGACCAGGCCCTGAGAGACCTGCAAACCTGGCAGAAATTATCCATCTCATGGCTTGGGAGGCTGGCAGCGATTAAAATGAACTTACTGCCACGTTTTCTCTATCTCTTCCAGACCCTCCCCATCCCACTCTCACGAGCAGACTTCAAAAATCTCCAAATGCACATTGATAAATTTATTTGGGCGGGGAAAAGAGCTAGAATAAAATGAATTACCCTGTATATCCCACACAAAAAAGGGGGACTAGGCCTGCCAAATTTCTGGGACTATCACCAAGCATCCCAACTTGCACAAATCCAAACCATGCACGCCCCCCCAGGGGTCAAGCGCTGGGTGGACCTGGAACACGACCTATTCGGACGAGATCTGCCAACTCTCTACCTATGGATACCAAAAACACACAGACCACAACAGCCCAACACGACACCAGCCCTCACGACAGCCATCCACATTTGGAACAGGGCGACCGACAAATACAACCTCATAAATACTCCCTCACCCCTTATGCCTGTTCTGAGGAACCCTCAATTCACCCCGGGAATGACGCCCCAACATTTCATCAGGTACGAGGACAATGACCTTACGAGAATCTGTCATTTTTATAGGAACGACCGCCTTATTCCCTTCCCAGAATTGCCAAACGCCACACCATATAACACGTTTGACCACTTTAGATACCTCCAACTCTGAAGCTTCCTGTCAACCCCTACCATAGCCGCTGCGGTGGTGTTGAAACCCACTGCATTCGAAAGGGGCTGCCTGAACAACCCAATACACAAGGGCCAAATCTCCAACCTATATAACCTCATAACGCTTAAAGCCCCACCTGACGCCCTCTCCTACGTAAAGGCCTGGGAAAGGGATCTTGGTCCCCCGGGGGACCCCTCGGACTGGGCTGACATATGGGAAGCAACAGCGACAGTGACTATCTGTGTTAACCACAGAGAGCAGGCGTATAAGACCCTGCTCCGGTGGTACCTCACCCCCCTGAGACTCAAACAAATGAAACGCACAGACTCGGACAGATGCTGGAAGGGATGTGGCGAAAAGGGAACATACATTCACGTGTGGTGGCATTGTCAACACTTAACTCAAATATGGAAAGAGATGGCCGCTGCCACCTCGAGAGCATTACAAACGGACATCCCCCTAGACCCATGGACCTGGCTGCTGTCCAGGCCCCTAGAAAATCTGACCCGAGGACAAAACAAACTAGTAGCAAAGGTGGCCCTAGCAACACGTAGAACTATAGCCACCCACTGGGGCAGCCCAGAAATCCCAACAGCCTCGGAGGCCCAGAGAAAGATTAAAGAGGCCATGGAGATGGACGAACTGTCCGCACTCATACATGAGAACACTAGATCTTTCCATAAGATCTGGGACCCCTGGTTGGCATTGTAAGACACCGCAAGCGGGGAAGGGGGGGGAGAGAGAACTGCCCCCCCTCTTTACCACAATCCACCCCTACCCTACACCCGCCCACACCACACATCAAATCACCACAACCAACAGAAAACAATTACACAAACTTGCAAACATCACGACTACAAGCAACCACCTGAACTAACTCAGGTGAACCCCACAAGCTCAACCACACACACATCAAAATGATATTACGACACAAGGACACTCTCCAAGTTCTAAACCCTTAAACCCCCGACCCCAGAGGCACCACCTCACCCCCAGAGGACAGAGACAGCGCAACGCAACAGACAGAGTACGACAACGACTCCTCACAAGGCCCAAGCCCTAGGCGAAGGCCAGGTTTGAGCCTCACAGCGCATCACCAAAACCCATCGCCTAGGGCCCACTCCCTAAACTCAGGGCAAACGGTGGTTAAGCCTCACAGAGGGGACACCCCCATCCATCTTACCCACCTGACCCTTCCAGACCCAGGGCAACGGGAGTTACATGTTGGACAACTGAAACAATGAATGTAAACAGGGATATAGTAATGAGTACAAATGTAACCGATTTAACTGTAACATGTTGCACCCCTTTTTCCTTTCTGTACCCCGTTTTGTTTCAAGAAAAAAAAAAAAAAATAACTTCTTTTGAAGATCCAAAAATAAAGAATTTATAAAAAAAAAAAAAAGCAAATGAGAAATTAAATTTGTTGATTGCAAATTTTGACAGAGAAAATACATGTGGAGATAAATCAATAAAAGCCTTTCCTTGTAAACTGATAATCAGACAAATAAGAGCAATTTTAGCTAAATCGAAATTAGGAGAAAGACAAGCAATGCAGTGTTACATAGTTACATAGCTGAAAAGAGACTTGCGTCCATCAAGTTCAGCCTACCTCACATTTGTTTTTTGCTGTTGATCCAAAAGAAGGCAAAAAAACCCAGTTTGAAGCACAATTTTGCAACAAGCTAGGAAAAAAATTCCTTCTTGACCCCAGAATGGCAGTCAGATTTATCCTTGGATCAAGCAGTTATTACCCTACATTGAAAGATTATATCCTTGAATATTCTGTTCTTGCAAGTATGCATCTAGTAGCCGTTTGAACATCTGTATGGACTCTGATAAAACCACTTCCTCAGGCAGAGAATTCCACATCCTGATTGTTCTTACAGTAAAAAAACCTTTCCTTTGCCTTAGACGAAATCTTCTTTCTTCCAGTCTAAACGCATGGCCTCGTGTCCTATGTAAAGTCCGGTTTGTGAATAGATTTCCACACAATGGTTTGTATTGGCCCCGAATATATTTGTATAATGTTATCATATCCCCTCTCAGGCGACGTTTTTCTAAACTAAATAGGTTTAAATTTGTTAACCTTTCTTCATAGCCGATATGTTCCATTCCTTTTAACACAGAAAGTTATAAGAATCAGATAACTTCAAGAGATATGATCAGTTTAGGGAATGAGCATGGATATGTGTGCCAACAGATGTACACAGGCTGATTCCAGAATTAAGAACCGCACACAAGAATAGAGATCTATGTTAGTTTGTTGTTTTAATGAATTGTTAGTCTGAACTGTTTTTTCATTGTTTTTATGTGTGTTATAAGAAAGTATTAGGTTAATTAATTAAAATAAAAATTTACATCAAGTTTGCAAATATGGCAGAATGAAATACACTAATGTAGCAGTTAGGAACATGCAATGTATATTATATTGGGTGTATGCGATTATACAGTAACTCCAATCATTTTACAGAAGGAAAAAAAATGGATATATTCCTTGTTGCTTCTGAGGTTGATTTAAAATCTTTGATTTAATTCATGAGAATGAGATTTTAATATCATGACTGATAATGGATTACTATATTTTGCAAAGCCTGGACATACATATGTTTTGATTATATATGAGACAAAAGTTTTGATAGAATAAAACCTAGATTTACAAATACATTTGATGTAGGAAACAATATTTTTTTTTTGTAGTTTGTTTCATGTGACAAAGTGGTGCCAGTGTTAAGACAAGATGGCTGCTATTGCTAAAGTATAGTAGAAAACAATATTTTGTTGTAACATCTGATATGTGATTAGGTTACACCTCCAGATTATTAAACAGTTTAAAAGGGGGGTATGATTAATAAAAAGTTTGGAAAATTTAAATGTTCAGAAAGATTTTAATATAAAGGAAATGTAAAGATTATACATCAAATGGCATAAATGTAATGACCACTAGATGGTAGATCTCATGAGAAGAAATTAGTATGTTTTGTGTAGTCAATATAATTCAATGTTAAACTATATAATAATAATAATGAGATATAAACATTGTAAGCCATTGTATTGATGCTGCACGTGTTTTTTGTTTTAATGTAGGTAAAGCGTGACAGATCCTTGTGGCAATAAATCAGGAAAGAATTCCTTTAGTCAACTGGACATCGACTGTTGGAAAGAGACTTTTCATCTGATCTGCAAACTGTGATGGAAGATTCTACAGAGTTCATTCGATACAGAAGATTAACAGACTTACAAAGAAATAAAAGATTGACACTAACATACATATCAATTCCTAAATATTTTTTTTTTTTGGCAATCTTCGTTTTTATTGAAGCACAGTTTGTATACAGACAGAGAATAAACAAGTATAAAGCTTACAGACTTCTAGCATGTTATCGCACATGCGGTAATGCTCCCTCCCTGTTACCCGCCTGTATTTCCCTACCCAGCCTCTGTGAGTAACTGAACAACCGAGCGCAACTGCGCAAACTGAACTTTAGAACATGTTCAGTATGTCTCTATGGGGGAAGATGGGGTAAGGGAATCGTGTTTTCCTCTTTATTTTCCTCCCTTTCATTTTTCCCCTTTTCCTCTTTGGGGGGGACTAATCTCTTCTCCCGCTTTCGTCCCGCTCGATCAATTCCTAAATATTAACGAAGAAGAAAAGAGACAATGAAAAGTTATTTGACAGTTATGAGTGTATTAATACCAAAAGAGAGTACTTATAACAATATAACACATGGAGTAAAATTATGATAGGATATTATGCAAAGAACTATTATATTGTGACCTATACATAGGATGAGAAGTATCAGAGGTAGATAAAATATGAAGTTGATAAAATAAAGGATCATTGTTTCTTAATACTACAAAGATTGAGTTCAATAGTATTTCATAGATTCACCAGAATAAATATTTTGTTTATAATCGAGGTGAAGTAAAACAAACAATGGTAACATAAGGAAGAAAACTAAGGAAGGATAATTTATATTGATTAATATTAAGTAATTATATACATTAAGAATGCCTTGGATATAAGAGTTCAGAGATCCAAGAGGAATTGAATTGAAGTTTAATTAAGAGTATAGTACACAATTCTATTTGACCTAAGTCTATAAAGGTGTGGACTACGGAGAATAGGTTTCTGGATATGACGGTATCCAATGAATTGAATATGTTGTGTTAAGTTGTTTTATGATTACCCTGAGTTTGTTAGACACAGACTAGGAATAAGAGTTTCTGGGCAGTATGACCCCAAATTTTGTTTATTTTATTAGGTCAGTTGAAGTGTACTAAGGAATACAGATTGGTCAGAACATTAGGACAATCCTGCTTTTAAGATGTATTACATTAATAAGTCATCACAATGCTAATGAAGAGAGTGATGATAATTAATTTAAATTATTCTTTCCAAGTTCTTTTAAAGTAAACTATGTTTCTGTTGAATGAAAAGTTTGTTACTACAAGGTAGAATTTTAGTCAAAATTATAATTATGTAAACAAAAACAAATCTATGATAGAAAGATTTCTGGGTGGAGAATTTCTAGAACAATAAGTATTGTCAACACCATGAACATTATTTGAAGAATTATAAAACTTCATGGTTGATAACAACACAACCTTTGAAGGTTTGCAAACTATTACGAGTCTTATAAGTAGTGTTGATATAGTTCAGTTAGTGAGAGCCTACTGAATATACAAATTAAATACTATGATTGTAAAGTACTGATACAATTATCACTAAGTGGTATTAATGGTATAGGAATGTAATTCATGAATACAAATGACCTAAAGATTTTAAGGTTGCTAGAAACCATATGATTCATGGAAATATAATTGGACAAGATATTATAGTAATACATGTATTAGTACTTAAGTAATATCAGGTATTGAGAATGAAAATACTATGCTATATGTATCTGTTGGAGTATGATAGTGATACACAGTTATTATTTAGAAAGTTACGATCTTGATTTTGTTGTCTACGAAGACATGACTGTACCTGAGCAGGTTGGTCTTTCTCATTGCTTTACATTTTTATTCAATTATTATTGTTATATATATATATATATGTACATATTATGTTCAAGTAGTTATGATGTAACATGGATATGGATATCAATACATAGCTGAAACAGAGGAAGTTTGAAGTAAAGTAAGCAGTATGAGGGATAGAAACTCGACCTTCCAAGAACTCTCATATAATAGAAAGTTGTGACTACATCTTGTTCTATGTTCAATGACTGTGATACGAGTGATGTATGAATGAACAGGTTAGTGATATTGTGTTATAGTTTTAAGACAAACCATAAATAGAGGGAATGTAGAATATTGCATATTCTATGTTCCTATTGATTATATATGGATGTGTGAATTGACATAAGTAACAGATGGTATAAGTCACAAGGCTTTCTTTGTCCGAGAGCTCTGGAATGTGGATTTGGGGTTTTTGTCCTTATATGGCTAGAGTTATAGTCTGACGTCAGTATGGGCACTTCTATATAGTAACTGAAAAAAGAGACACGAAGTCTCTTGGCTCTTGGCTCTCTCTTGGCTCTCTTTCCTGTACAAGATGTAACTGTCCCATCAGAAGTCCAGCAATTACCATCTGCTGTTGAATGTCCATTATCATGTAACATTCTTTGTTGTTTTATTATGTATCAGTAACTCAGAATAAACCTGAAGAAACCGTAAGTCAGATTGCGTATTAGAACTTTTCATTAATATAGACATATATTAATGTGGCGAGCAAATTTGGCCCAAGACTATATATATATATATACAAAAGACGTATATATCAATCAATTGAAGACAAGAAGAAATTAAGAAGATTCAACATTGATGATACGATCCGTTCCAAACCAGATTTTACACCCTGGATCCAGTTTGTAGCTGCTAGGTGCCACGTGCAGGTCCACTCGGCATACAAGTCCTTGTTGGACCTTTTTAGAATCCATAACCGTCTACAGTATGTCTCCAGGATGATGGCATAGCGGGCCAGAAGCATCTTTTTGACCCGATCGTCAATATCCAGGATGGCTTGGTAAGCCTTTGCGGTTTGTTCAGATCAGACAGCTTCCTGGCCTGGATGGAGACCCCGTCTGTTTGGTCTACCTCGTACAGGGTACACTGCTTTAAAAAATCTTGCAGGTACCTGTCAATGTCCCCCTCTGCCTTGATGAAGGGTTTAGAAGCGCCATACTGAACTTTCTCCTTCCCCAACTGTGCTTTCAGGGAAGCCAGCACTGCTCTCCCTAAAGGCTTCAACTCCGCCAGTCAGACTTGGTTATCTCTATCTCACTCTGATTACAGAAAGGCTGTCACTTCAACCATGGTAGTCTGGACAATCTTCTCTGACAGATGGGGACCATAGAATATCAGCCATGTCCTCATCTCTCACTGAGACCCTGTTTCCATCAGTTCAGCAACTAAGGTAGCTTTTGACTTGTTCTGGCTACCTGTCCACAGCCAGGCTATGCCTATATTCCAATCCAGCACAGAGTTACATGCTCTCGCATGTAAAAAGGGTATCTCTGAAAAAGGGTATTTCTGTCTTTGGAGAAGGTGGCTGCCTCTGGCTCTAAGTGAGCATAGATAGTTCTTCATATTCCCATTGTTAACACTAACATTATTATTAGCAAAAATCTGCATTGTTTAAAGAAACATAGGTCATGTCAAACTAACCTAATTGCCTTCTATGAAGAAGAAACTAGAAGTATATAGAGTTACAGTGGATGTGATCTACTTGGATTTTGTCAAGGCATTCAATATGGTTCAATAGGTTAGTGTTCAAACTAAAAGAAATTGCTCTAGATAGAAAATATTTTTCATGGGTAAAGCATTGGCTTAAAGATAGAGTACAAAGAGTTGTCATTATTAATAAATTGCCAAGCTGGACAGAAACAGGGCCGGTGCAAGGATTTTTGACTACAGAGGCAAAGACGCATTTTAAGGCCTCCCCCCTTATAAAAAATGTGTCTTCACCTGTGTGTCTCGTAACCCCCTTTTTGAATTTTTTACCCTATTTAGTGTATTTTATCCCCCCCTTTACTATGTCCTACACCCTCCTTGTGTATCTCTTACTTTCCCCAGCCTCTTTGTGTGTCTCTTTCTTCCCCCCAGGGACTGAGAGGGCTGGACAGAGGCAGGGCCAGTGCAAGGATTTTTCGCTACACAGGCGAAAATGAATTTTGAGGCACCCCCCCTTTGTTATGGGCAAATGCAGATATTACAAGTTTTAGAATTAAATGTATTTCTTAAACTGTGTACTTTGTCTAGAAGATATATTACAAACTGACAAGGTGTTAGAATGGAACATATTGTTTTTCATACAATGTTTCTTTAATAAATTACCTCTTACCGATATTCAGTGAATAAAATGTTCAGACTTTAGGAAGCCATTTTGTCCCAAGTTAGTGGAAATTCCCCAAATCCAGGAATTTCCCATGACGTGTGCACTTACGTTTTAGTATAAACAATAAATAAGATATTTAGACTTTAAGACGCCATCTTGTCTTAAAGGGACACTATAGTAACCTGAACAACTTAATGAAGCAGTTTTGGTGTATAGAACATGCCCCTGCAGCCTCACTGCTCAATCCTCTGCCATTTAGGAGTTAAATCCCTTTGCTTATGAACCCTAGTCACACCTCCCTGCATGTGACTTGCACGGCCTTCCATAAACACTTCCTGTAAACAGAGCCCTATTTAGGCTTTCTTTATTGCAAGTTCTGTTTAATTAAGATTTTCTCATTCAGGGCTGAGGTGGGGACACAGGGGCTGTAGTAAGGGGCTAGTGACTGTAGTGGAGGGCATGGGCTATAATTGGGGGGTTAGGAAATATAGTGGGGGATAGGCACTGAAGTAGGTTGATGGCTATAATTTGGGAAAGGGGCTATGGTGCGGGTGATATGGGTTGTAAAGTGGGGATGATATGGGACTTTATTAGGGGAATAGGGGCTGTAGTGGGGGTATGGGGTGTAGTTGGAGTGATGTGTAGTAAGGGACTGTGGTTGAAGGGACAGGGGCTGTGGTATTGGGTGCGGGCCTTGGGAGGGGGTGCAGGATATGAGAGGGGGACACACAGTGGCTGTTAGAAACACACAGTGCCTTGAGAATTGTGAGGAGGGGGCACGGGCCGACTTCAATGGCTGCAGGCTGCAGGGAGTATGAGGTAATTAGAAATTCAAGGCCCCCTCTCTCATTCCTTCTACTCCCCTGCCCCCTTTTTTTTTTCTCGCTCTCTCTTTCTCTCCCTCCTCCTCTATTCTTCCTCTTTCTCCTCTCTACCCTCCCCGCTATCTTCTTTCTCTACTCACCATCTACCTCACTCTGTCTTCACCTTATCTCTAAGCTTCGGCAGCACCGACCTCAAATACTAACACACTCTAATGCGAGGTGGGCGGATATCTCATTAACAGATACTCCGCACACTTCCACCTATGGGCCAGCAAGACAGGCAACACCACCCACACAATACCACAAGGTATACACATAATATACACTCCCACTGAAAATGAGACCCAACTGAGGTCCAACCTTAATCTCCCTCATATATGAGGACACTTTCCTCAGACACATACAGATCTAAGACTAAATGTACTGTAGATCATACCACATCGACTATGCACCTAGATGATACTAATAGGACCAACGTTCCCAACATGGTATGAGATAACTTCTTGACCCAAGCCATATTATCACTGATCAGGTCACTCAGACTTGATAAAGGCATTTCAACCAGTATAACCATGAGGTAACGACTTCCGCATGCTCTACTAAAGGCATTATACATGGTGTTATGGCAATGACGATTTCTTACTATATGCTTGATAAGATTATTATCTATGTATCCACGAGGCCTGCGTGCCCATAACGTTCCTTACTAATTGCACTGTTGTAACTGATTTGATGGCACAAATAAAGCTTGCAAACTAGAAATCCAAGTCCCCAGCCAGAGGCAGGGGATTCTGATTTTTGCACCCCTCTGCTCCGGCGCCCTAAGGGTTCTGTTCTGGGACTGCTTCTATTTAACATACTTACAAATGGTCTTGAAATAGGAATTGAAAGTCATGTTTCGGTGTTTGCAGATGTTGCAAATTCTGTAAAGTAATACAACGTGACCAGGATATTACTTTGCTGCAGATGGATTTAGATAGACTGGGGGACTGGGCACTCAAATAGCAGATAAAAATTTAATGTAGATAAATGTAAAGTTATGCATTTTGAGGTTAAGAATGCACAGGCAACTTTCACCTTAAACAGTAGTGAATTAGGGATAACACACAAGAAGGATTTGGAAGGAATTGTTATAGACAAACTAGGCAATAATCTGCAATGTCAGTGCAATGTATGCTGTGCACCAGTGGTGTATCCTGGTTTTGTGCTGCCCTAGGCACCCTTTCCCCCCCCACCCAACCCTTCCCCCACCCCGCCTTCTAAATACACACACACACACACACACACATTCACTGACAAATACGCATACACTAGCTAACAAACACACACTCGCTAACAGAAACACACACACTAACAGACACACTCACACTCACTAACAGACAAACACACACAGACACACACTCACTCCCTAGCAGACACACATTAGCAAACACACACACAGTCACTAACAAACACACACACACACTAACAGACACACTCACTCACTAGCAGACACACACACAGTCAGACACACACACACACACACATTAATAGACATACACACACCCTCACTCACATTAACACTTTTTTTTTTTATTTAACCCCCCCAGCCTCCTTACCTTTGGGAAAGCTGGGGGCGGGGGGTTCCCTCTCTCCCTGGGGGTCCA